ATGCTTAAAAGGTAGAGAAAAGTAGAAACATTGAAGAGCAAGAAGGGCAAACGGCAATAATGGTACAGAAAATCTCAGATCAAGTGAATCAAGCATCACTATCACTGTGGGGCTAAGTACATTCTAGCATCAAAAGACACAGTTTGCCGCACTAAAAGGCAAGACTCAGGCAGAAATCCTTTCTATATGGGAGCTGAGAGCAAGCTACAAATGAGGGCTGGAGAGGTGTCTCAGTGGTTAGAGCACTGAATACTCTTGCAGAGGACCCAGGCTCCCAGCGACTTCATGGTGGCTCACAACCCCTGTAACTCCAGTCCCAGGAGATCTAGTGCCCTTTTCTGATCTCCGAGGCTACCAAGCACGCACATGGTCACATTCATATATGCAGACAACACACACACACACACACACACACACACACACACACACACACACACACACACACACACACACCAGACAAAGAAAAAAAAGATAAAAAACCAGACTTGAAGTTAAGGCAGGAGAGAATTGTAGCAGGGACGTGCACTGAGTAGATGTGAAGAAAAAAAAAAAAAAGAAACAGATGAATTGCGATGTTAGTAACAATTCAAATGCAATTCAATCTGAAAGCAAGAACAACCAAGTTTTTAAAAACGACGATGTAATGAGAAAATTAGTCAGCAGAGGCGCTTTGCATAATCCTGCGGTCAAAAATAGAGTAGGGCAGGCTGGAGAGACCGCTCAGCCATTAAGAGCACTGGCTGCTCTTGTAGAGGACCCTGATTCAGTCCCCAGCACTCACAAAACGGCTAACAGTCCTCTATGACTAGTTCCAGTGGACCAAAGCCCTCTTCTGGCTGTCCAGGGTACTGCATGTATAAGGAGCAGTATATACATGCAGGCAAAACACCCATTCACATAAAAACATCTTTTTTTTTTTTAATGTAAAGAAATCCTCCAAAATGCAGGGATTAACAAGACCATGTTTATTGTCTGATGTTTTAGTATTTTTTTTCAGAACCTGACAGTTCAAGAATACAGTTAAGGCAACAATAAGGATTTCAGAACTACATAAATGGATTTTTCTCATATATTCTTGTAAGATGTAATCATACACTGGATTAACAACATACAGTGAATCTTTGGAGAATTCCCCAAAGTGAAGATTGATTTTTTTACAACATTCAAAACAAAAATCAACAATGGAAAGTCATTAAAATATTTTCATTATTGGGAAGCTGAAACTTCTCTGGGGAGGAACTCAGAACTGAAACCAAAAACTATAAAGATAAAAAGAGGGAAACAAGTGACATCAAAACCGATGACACTCAGCTAAAGCTGTATTGGGGCGGAGGGGGGGGAGATTTATAACTTTAATTGGTTTCATTTAAAAACAGAACACAACAGAACATACATATTCATGATACCACAATATACTTGGAGCAATCTCTCCTATTTGTCCTTGATTATTAGATGATGACTGGGATGAGCTGGGCATGTCCATTGCTCTTAGGGTCTCTTCTTGTGACTTCGTTTTCCTTTCCCATTTGTCTCCTCAGGGATGTCACAATGAGAATGGATGAAGCGATCAAGAATTTGTCTGTCTGCCAATAAAGAAAAGCAGAGGTTTCCAACTAAAATAGAAAACAGCTAAAATCCTAGGAGGAAGCAAATATCTGGTAGGAGTATGTTATTCACAAGTGTGTTATGAAAGGATAATTTTCGGGTACTGGGTATGTGTGGAGAGCACGGTGCCCTATTTGTTCAGAGCCAATCAGCACGCTCACCGGAAAGGGCACGGGCTTGTGAAGTAACAGACCCACAGTTCGGTTCTGTGCCAGCAACTATTAGTTAACCTACTTCTTTGTTCCTCCTCTCTGAGTGCAGGTCACCCAACTTACAACGCACTGTGGGAAGGACTATGCACACCATGTGTGATGTTACATGCTAAATTAATGTGTGTCGTTAATTAATTAGCACCCTTATCTGCCTTTACATGCTGCACAGTAATAAACACTGGTGAGGAAAATCATGAGCTGCCCTGAACATTTGGTAGAATTTAAGGCTGTCTTCTTCCTGTCCAATGTTGGGGGCCTTGTTGTCCTTAAGTCATAACTGTCTGCCTTTAGGAAGTCCTTCAATCCCACCTCCAGCTCCTGTGCTATGAAACAGAACCCTGAACACTTGTTAACTCCCTGGTCTGTGAAAGTCTTCATTCCCACTGCCATCCATTATTCATCCTCTTGGTTAGTGTCACAATGCCAGCTGAGGCCAGTGGATCAAGGCTGTGTGTGTGTGTGTGTGTGTGTGTGTGTGTGTGTGTGTGTGTGTGTGTGTGTGTGTGTGTACCTGTGTGTGTGTACCTGTGTGTGTGTTATAAGAAAACAATAACTTAAAAAGTTTAAAGTAAATTTAAATTTAAAATTTAAATTAAGAATACTATTAATTTCTCCCACCTTATAAAACTTTTATGCAAAGGAATTAAACAATTGTAACTTCCCTACCTGGTAAAACTTCGTTCATGGGAAAGCCCTGCCCTATTCCCAGACCCTGATGTCTGGGAGAGGCTCACTCCTCCTCCCTTCATTTCCCTCATGTCACTTTCCAATCAAAAGTCGACTATGAGGTCAAGCATCAGCCAGAGAGGAACTACCAAGTTCCCCTTGCATTAGAGATAGAAGACAGAGGTCACTTTGGCCTTGGGTGCTTGCTAGCCCAGTTTGAGTCACAGCCCTACATATTTTTACAAAAACAAATTGCCTTGCCAGCTTACTTTCACTTTGTTATTGTGTCTTTGTGTGATACCCAGGTTAGTCTTTTTCAACAGTGTGTACATGTAGTTTGTGTTCTCTGCAGTTACGTTTGGGTTTATTTGTGAGCTATTCCTGCTCTATCCTATCCCTTCCTTGATCCCAGTACTTTTCAACTCAGGTGTTTCTCTCGTGGAACAAAATACACTGACCTTACATGCAATGTTTGTCAGTTGACTTTTGAACACTGATGAACCATAGTCATTTAGAGTTTATTTCCATCACCTTGGAAGTCCTTCTAGATGCTTCCCAGTCAATACCGTTAACCCCAAGAGAGCCTCTGGTCCCATTTCTTTCACCATGGATGAGATTTGCCTGCTGTGGTCCTTCAAATACACGGAATCACGAAGAAGCTCATCTTTAATGTTTGGGTTTTGTTGTTGATGTTGTTCAGCATCTTTGAGTTTATACATTTTGTTTTGTGTGTCAGGAATGTGCTCCCTTTTATTGCCAAGTTGTTAAACTATCACACTTCATCTATTTTTCCTGGTGATGGAGATGGGGCTATTTCCAGTTCTGGGATATTAAGAATGAAATTGTCACATTTTTGTGCAAGCCCTTTTGAGCCTGAATAACTTCTTTTCTCTCAGGCTGATACCCAGCAGTGGAATTCCTAAGTCATGATGCAGGCATATGTTTACCTTTGTAAGATGCTATCGATGCTTTTCCCAGAGCAATTCCACTATTTGATAGTCCCCTGCCCTGAGGATAATGTACGCTCTGTGTCACCACCAATTGCTGTCCCCTAGTCTGTTCCTTTTCCCGCTTGTCTGTAGTTTTGGAGTTTATACTGAAGTATAGAAGCAACAAAGTGCCCTTTGCATAATGAAGACATGCATAGAGGGTAAATCAGACTGGACACATATTAGCCAGAACAAGATGACCCAGTGTCCATCAAACTTAACGTCAGCCAAGCTGCTCAAAAGCCATTGTGCTTTGACTGTGGTTTGTGATAGCTGATGTTGAATTGCCGGGAGCGATGACACCTTAGATATTAGAGAGACTTGGGATGCTTCAGAGAATCTCTTGTAAAAGTTTGCCAGCATCTTCTAAGTAACTCGTTATGTTGAGAGAATAGCTAACTCCAGTCCCAATCTACCTTTCCCCTTCCCCAAATGAGTAGAGCCTGGGCAAACAAGAATAGCTGATAGCAAACATTCCTCAGTCAGGTTACTTAGCAACCCTTCTTCCTGCAACCTCTTCATCTTACTAACAACCTGCTGTGTTTACACCCCTCTGATTGCCCGAATTATTGTGCCTTATCTGTACCTGCACACACACCCCCCCCCCGCTTGCCCTCCCTATTATTCTGTCTACCTTCAAGGACCCACGTACCAGGCAATAAACTCTCCCTGAGGAATCCCCACCCCAGGTCTTTCCCACTTCACTGCTGTATAAGGTCTCTGAGAAAAATAAAATTTTGCAGCTTGATCAGAAAGCCTGTCTTGCTGTCTTCCTGGTGTCACTTGTCCCTATTCATTCCAGGTCCTTTGAGGTTTCGGGGTTGACATTTGCAGCCCTGCTGGCTGGGGCATTGAATGACAACTTGACCAGATTCAGCCACACCTAGGACCAGTGGGGCATGGCTGTGGATTTGATGGGATGCTTCCAGAGAAGATCGATTCATGGACAGGTAAGAGGAGAGGCTGCCCTCAACGTGGGTGGTATCTTCCAAAGGATGACGTGGATAAAGAAAAGTCTGAAGAGGAAGCAGCCAGCAGGTGCTAGCAAACGCCTCTCCCTGAGCCTGTGTGTTTGTCTTGCTGAGGTTATCCTATGCTGACTTCCTTGTCCTTCCAGCATAGACTCCAAGACTCTCCAGAGAATATCTGGACTTAATGTGGTTCCCAATTGGGGATGCTGATTAGGCACATCCTGGATTGGGCATCTGTCTTATTCTCTATTTTCCTCAGATGCCCATTGTTGGACCACCCAGCCCCTACCCTATATGGCAATCTAATAAATCCCCTTTTATACAAATATTCTACTGTTTCTGTTGTTCCAATTCATGTCTTTATGCTGTTTCTTCTGCTGGAGTAGACCTGTCACTCCTTGATATGAGAACCTCATTGACTTGAGAACCTGTCTCTCATCTACTGTGGACCTAGGGCTAATTGGCACCTCCCAGAGGCTTTTCCTAGAATCAAAGATTTCTTTATGGTGGTAAATGTCACTATACCTATGCCTCTGTCTTCCACACTAGACAGTGAGTTACCTGATAGGATGGACTTATTTTTATTTATCTTTGTATTAAATTAGCATGATAGATACACAATCAATGAAGTTTTCTGAGTGAATACATGCATTTTGTTACAAAATTATTTATGTTTATGGGTGTTCTGCCTGCATGGATGTCTGTGTACCATGTGTATGCAATACCCATAGAGGTCAGAATAGGGTGTCCGATCCCCTGGAGTTATAGATGGTTGTGGGCTGCCAGACGGAGGCTGGGAATTTAACCCAGATCCTTGAAGAGCAGCCAATGTTCTCAACTACTGAGCCTCTTTCCAGCTCCAATCCATGCATTCTGAATTCTGGGCTTGATAGAAACACCTTACAAATTTTATGTTGCTGGAAAAAATAGGGAGTCATAGCTTTAAACGATACTAGAAAACCAGATTTCAGATAATTTTATCACTCAAGTGGGAAGAGAGTGGGCAGATGACAGGGTTTTACCAGCAGATAACATATGCAGGAACTGTCAGCTTCCACATTGTTGGAATCAAACTCAAGGAGTAAAATAATTCTGAACATAGATTGTCCACTAAAGAACACAGTCCAAGATTCTTGAGTTAGAAACAAACTCACTCTGGGTTTAAGCATCCCTATTGAAAATGCTCAAAATGTTCCAGATTTGCTTGGACTTGGGAATATGGGCATCTATATGGTGAGGTCTCTGGGAGATTGGATCCAAGTTTGAACACAAAGTTTGCTTCTGTTTCCTATATGCCTCGCAGACACAAGCCTGGGATAACGGTGTGTAACATTTTCCACATGTCTGTGCTTCAACTATGACAGTTGGTGTGAAGTAAGGTGTAGAATTTTTCACCTGTGGTCCCGTGGGTGCTCACAAGGTTTTGGATTTCACAGTAAAGATGTCTGTACCAAGCAGTGGTGACAGAGACTTCATGGACACAGAGGCCCACTTCAGTATCCTACTCTTCCTTCCTGCTCTGCTTTCTCCTATACCCTTCCTCAGTCTGCCCAGTCGTCACCCCAACTTGATGTTACTTAGGGGGGACGACTAGTGCCCTGGCCCCCACCCTACCATTTCTCTTTATCTCTCTGTGGGTGTCTCTCTGTGTCTGTCTCTCATCTCTCTCCCTCCCTCCTTCCCTACTGTCTTTCTCTTTCCATCAAAATACCACTGCTCTGCTCTCCTAGTCCACAAAAGCTTACTACTTACTTAAGATAATCTAATCCCATGATTTAAGCTGAGCCAACAATAAGTGAGCCTAAGACATCTCAGGTCTCCATTCTGAAATCCGGCTGAGCCCTGCTGTGAAAGTGCTGCTGGGATGGTCACAACTGACAGGCATTCTAACCCATCTTCCCTGATACCAGATGATGACAGGAGGTTTGGTGCATAAAAGCTTTAAAGGACCCTCCTGCGTGCCTGTGGCCCCATAAGAGCTGCACCAATGGGCAAGGGCATTAGAGTTGGGATAGAGTGGCTTCTCCAGCAGCCCAGGGCATTGTAATACAGCCAAAGCTCTGGGCCGTGTGCTTCCTGGTGTCTGCTCCCAGGGCTGCCCTGGAGAACCAAGAAGAAAGGAAAATCTAACTTGTCCCAAGGCACCTGGTTGGTTTACTGGGAGGTCTAGGAGAGGTAATGGACAAATCTTGATGCCTGGAAAGTTTATCTTCCCTGGTAAGAACAGAGGTCAAGTCAACAACGCTTAGCAGAAGACCCTCTCCTCACCCCTGCTGACCACAGCTCACTCCTAGGGAGCAAGGCCAAGCCTCAGATGGCACACATATGGAATGGGAAACCAGATGTCTGGCCCATGTGATGGCTGCATCTGGTATGGCTGGTCCCTGATTCCTGGGCAAATGTCAGCACCTTCTGAAGGAGGCAGAGTTCCTCTTCCTGTGGGTCCAAGGGATGTGGCTCTTAGAGGTAACATGAGTTCAGAGGGTGGTTTTACACAATTCACACCAAAACTGGTGAAGGGAGTGGCCAGCCAGCCTGGCTTTGCTGGTGTACTCCCCTGTGTCTTCAGGGACTTGCATAGCAGGTGTCCAGAAGGCTCTTAGTTCCTCCTGAAGAGACAGCCTGGCCTTCAGGCATCTGTTGAGAGGAATAAGGCTCCCAGGAGAAAACACACTCCCACTTGCATAGGAGGCAAAGCAGCTGCTTAGCCTGTTTCCCTGATGCTCAACATTCAGACACTCATTTCTTCTTGGGGTGTGTGTGTGTGTGTGTGTGTGTGTGTGTGTGTGTGTGTGTGTGTGTGCATTTTCCATCCTTAAAAGCAATTGAAAGGCTAAAGCAATGGCTTAGTGGGTAAAACCACTTACTTTGCAAGCATAATGACCTGAGTTTGAATTCCTATTGTCCACACAAAAAAGCCACCCATGGTTTCAAGTGCCTATAATCCCCGCACTAGGAAGCAAAGAAAAATGGCTCCCAAGGAACAAGATGGTCAGTCAAACAGAGAGCTGCTGATCCGAGAGAGGAAGAGCAAGATGGAAAGTGAGGGAGGAAGACTCCAATGTCCATGGCCTCCTTCGGCTCCCCTGTATGCACACACAGTAGGGCTTCAGTCTTGTTTGGAGTAGGAGATCTCTGCAGCAGAGGGGAGAGTCAGTTTTAGAGTTAACTCTTTGGCAGGGGAGGTGTGGAGGCTGAGACAGATGAAGGGCAGTGAGTAGTGATGAAGGGCCACAGAGGAGTGAGGGAGAGGGGTCCCAATTAAGAGTGAGCAACTGGGAGCCATCTGCAGCACACTGATCACAGAAAAGGGAGGAATTGGTGGCCCCACATTGCCCTGTGCACAACGTTGGGTGTAGGACGTATCTCTTAGGAACATGAAAATATCAGACCTTCTTCCTAAGTTTCTTTTATTTCCTCCTTGACACTAGTGTGTTGTCTAGTGGACAGCACATGTATGGCATAGAAAATCGCTTTATGTGGATGTTCACACCTACACTGGGTTGTGAGCTCGCTCTCTCTCCTCTCTCTCTCTCTCTCTCTCTCTCTCTCTCTCTCACACACACACACACACACACACACACACACACACACGCACACACCCCAGGCTTCTGACAGGCAGCTCTGGGAAGGACTGCTTCCTGTTCCCGGACTCCTTTGCTTCCTCGTTGACATTTTACCCTTTCTCAGGTGACCTGACATCCCAGAGCTGGTCCAATAAGCTTGTTACATGGAATAACTCTACCCTGTCCTGAGATGGTACTTGCTCTTTGTGGGTGTGAAATATGAGGATTCTTATATGTAAATAGCCCGTCACTAAAGAAATACAACCAAATGGGAAATAAAGCATAAATGAAATACAACAAAACTGTGAGATTTCCAAAAGGCAACTGGAGGAAGGGGAAGTCATCCCAGTACATGCAGTGCAACCACCCGTGAGGTGAGACCAGACGCATGAGCCATAGAGCAATGTGAACAACAAAGTCTCCAATGTGCCTTTTAGGAAAGTAAATCTCCAGTGGTCAAGGTTTGCATGACACTATGGGACTTTTTTTTTTTTAAGTGATTGTGGTGGTTTGAAACAAAATGGCCTCCACAGGCCTATAGGGTGTGGCACTATTAGGAGATGTGCCCTTGCTGGAGTAGGTGTGGTCTTGTTGAAGGAAGTGTGTCACTGGGGGAAGACTTTGAGGTTTCAGAGGCTCAAGCCAGGCCCAGTATATACAGTTCACTGTCTCTTCCTGCTGTCTGCGGATCAAGATGTAGAACTCTGAGATCCTCCTCCAGCATCATGGCTGCCTGCATGCTGCCATGCTTCCCACCATGGTGATAATAGACTGAACTTCTAAACTTTAAGCCAGTCCCAATTACATGTTTTCTTTTATAAGAGTGTCTGTGGTCATGGTGTCTCTTCACAGCAATAAAACCCTAAGACAGTGGTCTTTGTCTTTTTGTTTGTTCTTTTGGGGAGTTTTGTTTTTGTTTTTATAGTCAATACCATTGGTTAAAATGGGAACAGTGGCCGGGCGTTGGTGGCGCACGCCTTTAATCCTAGCGCTCAGGAGGCAGAGACAGACGGATCTCTGTGAGTTCGAGGCCAGCCTGGTCTCCAGAGCGAGTGCCAGAATAGGCTCCAAAGCTACACAGAGAAACTCTGTCTAAAAAAAAAAAAAAAAAAAAAAAAAAAAAAGGGAACAGTGTATTAGGAGTGGGAACAGCGTGTTAAGAAAGGCATTCACTATGCTGGAGAATGTATGGAGTAGAATCTTGAGGCCTCTTACCTTTGCTGGAAACACCTTGCAGGTACCTTTGGATTTGGGAAGGAGTAAATGAGTCTAAGATCATCAAGAAGTCCAGGCAGGCTTTCCCGTAGTCACTCGCGTAGGTGGTCTGCTTCTTTGTGCGCTCCTGGTTCCGTATGTAGCTGTGCAGCACGGAAGGCACTGAAGTGACACGGGGACAGCAGCACAAGCTGTCAACAAGCCGAAATGCCCACATCCTTGTTTGAACACACCCCTCACACCCGAGCCCTCATTCTACCAATGATTAGGGGCAGTGCCAAGCTGCTGCTATGGTGATGCTGGAAGTGGGAGGGACGGGAGACATGGCCCGATGAGGCTGAGTGTGATCACCATTTTCGGAAAATCAGTTCTTCAATTTTTTTAATGGTTTTATTTATTTATTATGTATACAATGTTCTGCCTGCATGCAAGAAGAGGGCACCACACCTCATCACAGGAGGGCACCAGATCTCATCACAGATAGTTGTGAGCCATGTGGGTGCTGGGAATTGAACTCAGGTCCTCTGCAAGAGCAGTCAGTGCTCTTAACCTCTGACCCATCTCTCCAGCCCATGACTTCTGCTCTTAACAGTGTGTGTAATGTTTTCCTCTTGCTTAATGATAAACAGACTTTGTAAAAATTTCATTTTCCCCCAGGGCATCGCATGTATCCTCAGAAATGCACATGAACGGACCCATTGCCAGTGACCTAGGAAGCCTTAGGATGAGCACTTTAGAAGAAGGGCGACATTTCCAGCAAGTGTGCTCTGTCCATTCAGACTAGAAGAAGTCAGAGAAGCAGGCAACTCCAGCCACTCATATTTGATATGAACTAATTTAGATTAATGTGGACTCTGAGATTTTTGGAGTTATAATTTTTAATAACAAAAATATGATGTTTTAAAAATGGTCAACTTTTGTAAAAATACAAACACCTTAAATACTGTCCTCAGTCCCAAGCATCCCCTTTTGAGGGACCAAATGTGAGGAACAGACTGGACCACAGATCTCAGCCCTTCCCAAAAGAAGAGCACCGGGATCTGAGAACTGCTTTAACTAAGAAAGACCACCAAGGTTCTACCCCCATGGTTCTCAAGATTCTTCTACCTTGTGGTTTCCTTAGGGTAGAAGATATCTGCTCATTAACCTCCTTGGGAAGAAACAATCAGCAGGTACACACTTAGGAAGGAATCTCCTGACTGTGAGAAGTGCCAGGCATTGGAATATCAGACAGTGAGGACTGCACCTTGGAGTGTGGAGCATTGCCCTGGGTGTATAAGCAGGGACAGTGTTAGCCCTCAGCAAAGGCAGTCACCCCTCATTGAAATTCACACATAACCCAAAGCTCTAGACTGTGAGTCAGTGTTCTCCTTTCTATCATGTAGGTCTGGGGTATTGAACTTAGGTCACTGGGCTTGGCTGCAAGCACCTTTACCTGCTGAGCCATCTCACCAACCCATGGAGTTGTTTTTTTTTTTTTTTTTTTTTTTTTTTTTTTTTAACAAGTGGCTTAGAGGTTGCCCAGCAATGGAATTCTTAAAAACATTCCTATCCAAAGTGATAGGAATCAGAATCATGAAGGAACTCTCACTAGAACAGATTGAGAACTAAATCTGAAAATGCTATGGGTGCGTCATAAGAAAAGCCTAAGTGGTTGACAAGTGACTCCCTCTACTCTGTCATTGTAGGGCATCTCCCTACTCCAACCACTGCTCCACCCAGCAGGAGTTCCATCAACTTAAAGCATAGGCTGGAAGTCTTCTTCGATTCATAGTTCCCTTGCTCTAAGACTGGGAATTACAGCATCATGCACACTCTGCAAGGCCATGATCAAAACAGGCTGCCAGGACCTTCTATGACAGTCTTGGAGTAGGAATGGTGATGTCAAACCATAGCAGCAACTGCTGTTTCTAAAAACAAACAAAAACGAAAAACCCCAAACAAACAAACCACTATGCAAACTTGTTCAGGGCTCAGGCTTTGGTGGACCCAAAGGTGGGAACCCAAGATGGAGAAGCAGTATTGAGAGACGTCAGTCAGGAGCCAGGCAGAGTGGGCCAGAATAAGAAGAGGTGGGAGACATCCAATCACAATGTATGTACAATTTCCAATGGTTCTGAACACTGGATGCCAGAGCAGACCAAAAATCCCAGGTGTAGGGGCTGGAGAGATGGCTCAGTGGTTAAGAGAGCTGGGCTGCTCTTGCAGAGGGCCCAGATTCAGTTTCCAGCACCAACATTTGTGCCTCACAACCATCTGTGACTCCAGTGCCAGGGGATCCGATGTCCTCTTCTGGTCTCCCCGGGTATACATGTGCTACACAGACACACATGCAGGTAAAACACCCAAACACATTTCTTTTAAAAAAAATTCCAGCTCCTACTTCCCTCACTTCCTGAGCTTTGGTCTCTTTGCTAATAGACAATATTAGAGACAGACTCATGCTCCTCCTTGTCAGTTAATAATAAAACTCTTTTCAAAAGTCATAGCCAAAGTGTTGGCTTCTATGTGTCAGACCGAGAGCCCTGGTGGGTGATTATGCATTTGTAATTTCTAAAGGCCTACTTACCTAGACCCTGGGAAGCAACAGGCAGACTTGAGTAGCATCCATATTTGAAACTAAAATCCTGCAGTTCAGGAATCTTAGCTGGAACTTGGTAATGGTGCCGAAATTCAGTGTCCAGAGGTCGGGGAAGTAACTCTTTCCAGTTCATGGCAATGGGAATCCTTTTCATGGTCCTCTTAGCTGGGGTGAGAAGGGAAGACAATGATTACCCCTTGTGAACTGTTTCCAAGTGGCTTGTCACTGCATCTTGCTTTGGCCAGTAGCTTCCAACTCACAGTTAAAAGTGACTCTTCTCGAGTTTAGAGGTATAGTCTGTGTACTCCGTGAGTTCTTCAACCAAGGAACTATTTCCTCTCTCGGACATGGCAGCATATGCCTGACTGGCCACTGTGGTTGTTTTGTTGCTGTTTGTTTTTTTTTTTTTTTTTTTTTTTTTTTTTTTTTTTTTTACTCTTTGCTCTTTTGGGGGGCCTGCCATCCAGCTCCCAAATAAATACATGGATTCTTATTCTTAATTATGAATGCCAAGCCTTAGCTTGGCTTGTTTCTAGCCAGCTTTTCTTAACTTAAATTATCCCATCTAGCTTTTGCCTCTGGGTTGTTACCTTTCTATATGCCTTTCTTTACTTCTTACTCCGTGGCTTCTGTGTAGCTAGGTGGCTGGCCCCTGGAGTCAGTCTTCCTCTCCTCCTTTCAATCCTAGATTTCTCTCTCCCCAGACTTCTCCTCCTATTTATCCTCTCTGCCTGTCAGCCCCTCCTATCCTTTTTCCTGCCTAGCTATTGGCCATTCAGCTCTTTATTAGACCAATCAGGTATTTTAGACAGGCAAAGCAACACAGCTTCACAGAGTTAAACAAATTAGGCATAAAAGACATCTGTGACTCCAGTGCCAGAGGATCCCATGCCCTCTTCTGGTCTCCTCAGGCACACATGTGCTACACAGACACACATGCAGGTAAAACACCCATACACATTAAAAAAAAAAAGTTCCAGCTCCTACTTCCCCTCACCTCTTCGCATCATTAAACAAATGTTCCACAGCATAGGCAAATGTAACACATCTTCAACTAATACTCCACAGCAGACCGGAAGTAGTTTTTGAATGGCTAGACACTCAGCAGGCTGCTGGGAACAAAAACCAGCAGTGACCCTGCTGGGGGCTTCCTAGGCCTTTGTGAGCCAAACCAGAGGAAGAGGTTTGGGGTTTTGTCAGAGTTGCCATGTGAAGCAGGGTACTCAATTCAATCTGAATGCCATAAACAGTGGATACTTTTATTCTTTGTGTGATTATGTGCAAGTATTCGTTATCTGCTGTAGATCACAACTCAGATTTAACTGGACAGTCTGTTGCTTTTACTTGTTGAAACTGGCAGCCCTAGATGGAGTGGAAGATGTCATCCCACTACCAGGAAAGAGTTAAAAGTTTGTCCCTTCCCGAAAGAAGGTTGAGAGGCACCATTGTCATTAGTGGACAATTTAACATTATTATTTCTTCAAAACATTTCCACTAAAATCCTCCATAGTACGGATTCATTCTTCCTCAGTCACATGTATGGATTGTCTGGGTTCATGCTACTTGGCCCCTTCAGGCCTTTCTCAGAGGGAAGGTTGTGTATACAAAGCAACCTCACCAACTCAGAAACTCTCATTCTCTTTAAAGTTCCACGGTCAGCCTCCCTCCTGGATTTCTTTTCTGTTGGTAACTGTGACATCATTACCAATCAGTCATGCTACCCCCATCACCAAAATGCTGGCTCCCGTTAAGATGAACACAATTTCTGGCGCATTCCGGTTCCATGGTATAATGTTGATCACATCTGTTTTACATGCAGAAGGTCCTAGGTTCAAGTCCCAGTGGAACCATGATCAAAAAAAAAAAAAAAAAGTGTTTCTAGGCCAGGTGTGAGTCCAGCCTGGTCTATACAGTGACTTATAGGCTAGCTAGGGTTACTGTGAGATCTCATCTCAAAATCAAAACTAAATAAGGATCTGCAGAAAGGCACAATCTAAAAGTAAATATAGAAGAACATTCAAAATCATTAGCCCCAGAAACACATGAACCAGAAACAAGGAATTAATTTGCTGTCTTCATTCGCTGTTCTAATTCATCAAAGCCAACTTCTCCAAGCCTGAATGTGAGAACAACCACTTTTTAACCCCACCCACCCCTCTTCATTCACTGTAATTCCTCAGTGAACACGACATGGTTTCTCTGCTTCAGAATCTTAAAGTATTAAAGAAACTAAGTGCACTACAGTATCATTATGTGGTGGATTCTGTAAAAGTTGTTATAACAGAAGCACACACATGCACATGAGGGAGGGAGAGAGAGAGAGAGAGAGAGAGAGAGAGAGAGAGAGAGTTCCAAAGTTTAGAATCAAAGAGGCTTCCAGGACAGAAAAGGAGCCAAAACCTAGACTTAGATGGCAGATCAAAAGGGAAGCGTTGCTGAGGAGGGAAGCGGTGGAGACAGCAGGCTGCATCAGGGGTCTGGCGAATCTGTGGAGCAGGCAGTTGAGTGACCTCTCCATGAGTGTGGGGGTCACTGGGGAGAACAGCAGAGAGGGGGAAAGGACCAGAAGACACAAATCACAGCCACATCGATTGAGGCATTAGCTTTCCTTTTGAGAGCAAAAGAAGTCCCCAAAGAGATTTAAGCCAGGGCTGACATCGACTTGTTCATCAATGAACCTACAGTGACATACCAAGGACGAGAGGTAAGTAAGAGGCCATCCAAAGAGAGATGCTGGCACCGAGAACTGAGTAAGAGGCACGAGGGAGTCTTGAATGGAGTTTGCCTGCACAGGGGAGGGGGTGGGTGGGGGGGGGCACCATGATTGGCCTACTGTGAACAGACTAGAAATGCACACCTTTCATAAAGAACACAGATCTGAATGTTCTTCTATGGCCCTGGTGTCTGTCTACACATAGCACTGTCTACCCACCTGGCTCCAAAACAGTGTTTTTTCACACGTTCTATCATTCAGCAAGTATTTCCTAAACTCCTTCTAGCTACCAAGCCCTCTTCTGGCCATGAGTGAACAAAGGCCCCTGAAGAAGGATCTACAGCCAAATATGTAAGATTAAAACAACAACAACAAAAACCACGATTAGAGGGGCTGGGAAGACGGCTCAGTTGTTAAGAGTTCTTACTGTTCTTGCAGAAGTCTTGATTCCTAGCACCATGTCAAACCACTCACAACCGCCTGTAATGCCAGCTTTGGGATCCAACATCTCTAGCCTCTAAGGACACCAAGGTCTTTAGCAGATGTAGCTCCTGTATCTAAGGACATCAGGCCTTTAGCAGATGTAGCTCCTGTATCTAAGGACATCAGGCCTTTAGCAGATGTAGCTCCTGTATCTAAGGACATCAGGCCTTTAGCAGATGTAGCTCCTGTATCTAAGGACATCAGGCCTTTAGCAGATGTAGCTCCTATATTTGGGACCTATAGCCTCCAGCACCATGAACCAAACTATGATTTATAAATTACTCATTGTGTTAGCCAGTCATCCTAACTGTGACCCAATCCCTAATGACAACAATTTGCATGAGAAAAGATTTATTTGGGGCCACAGTTTCAGAGATTTTGGGTTATGGTCAAGCTGGCTCCATTGTTGCTGCGTCTTGGTGGAGAGGACATGGTGGAGCCAAGATTCTCACCCCTAAGCAGCCAGGAAACAGAGAGAGATGAAGAAGGGTACAGACAAGATCTGCCTTTCCCAGGTCCATCCCCATCAACCCTATTTCAATTACCTCTCAAAATAGTGCCACCTGCTGGAGACTGAGCCTTCAACGCATGAGCTGTGCAGATAGGCATATTCAACAATGCTCAGACAGCAGTATTCTGCTACAGCAGAAAACACAGACATCCCCCCTTTTAAGAAAAAGGAACTAGCATAAAACCACTTTATTGTAACGAACTCGTAGATAAAAACATCACACAGATGGATTGGTGTAGCGACTCAAAAACTCACCCTGTCTCAAGACATTTTCATAGCTCACAGTTTATTCTCTGCAAAGCCAAGTCAAAGAGCCTGTGTACTTAGGACTTGGAAGAAGATTCGTGGAAGAATGGATTGGGAAAAGAGGGAGGCTACCAAAAGACTGCACACCAGCCTGAAAGACCTCAAACATTTCCCCCCTGGCAGTCCAGCCTCGTTCTGGGAATCCCAGCAGTCCCATACTTAGCCCTCTAGTTCTACAAATAACCTCGTCAAAAACACACCCAGTCACTCATTTAAAGTATCGGCCAGCTAAAAAGGCATGGCTCTACATGGATAATTCCTCATCACCCATTGGGACTGAGGAGTGTCTGTTTTTCTTTTTTTCTTTTTCACTGTCCCTTCTTTCTTCTCTTCTCATCTTTCCCATTTCCCTTCTTTCTTTTCTCTTTGCTTTGTGCATTGAGACAGGGCCTTATTATGTCAAGCTGACCTTGAATTCCAAGTCCTCTTCCTTTGCTTCCAAAGCATTCACCACAATTCCTGGCTAATGGGAGTCTTTTCAGGCCTCTAGACTCCACTGGGATAGATGTGCATAGCAACATACATTTATTTATTTGCTTGTTTGCATTGTAGTGCTAAGGATCAAAAATGCTACCACTGAGCCATATTCCAGCCACCTACCCTTCTTGCAAAGTACACCTTTCTATAATTGACTTGCCTTGTTTGTAAAAGTTCTTGTGCCACACTAGCTTGGGAGTTCCTGAAAGAGAAAGACTACCTCCATGCCACTTACCACCACTGTGGCAGCACCCAGGCATACACGAAGGGAAAGGAGGAATACTTGCTTACCTTCAGCCACATCCACAAAGTCCCTCTTGGTCTGCGAAACAAACTGATTTGCTATCGCTGCCCGGACTATCTCTTCCTGGGTCGGAAGGGTTACCGAAGGGAGGGGTTTGATTGCTTTGTCTTTAGGGAGTGTCCACTGAAAGGAATCCTGTCAATGCAAGCACGGTTTTAGTAAAAAAAGGCTCACTTCCTGGAGTCTAGAATACACATGTGTGTCTTATTCTTTGGAACCCTTTAATCTGCAACCACACTGCAGCTGCCTATACAGAGAGTATGGTGAGAGGGCCTGGGAGTTACAAACCATAACACAAACGCTGACTTGGCTGCTTTTCTTGCTGTGACGAATACCTGACAAAAGCAACTTGAGGAAGGATGGATTTATTTAGGTCATGGTTTGAAGGTTATAATTCATTGTGGTGGAGAGTGCAAGGTAGCAAGAAAAGGATGTGGAAGGTGTTGCACCCCTTAGTTGGGAAGGTAGAGGCAGACAAATATCCAAGCTCAGCTTCCTCTCCACCCCACCCCTTTTTGTTCAATAGAGGACCAGAACCACCAGGGATGGCAACACTCATATTCAGGGTGTGTCTCTCCTCTGTTAAATCTCTCTGCAAACTCCAAGACACACAGGGTGGGATGTCTCTGAGGCAATTCTAAAGCCAGTCAAGTTAACAATGAAGATTCAACCATCACAGATAGCCTCTGTGTGCTTGCTTTGACCTTTGACAATGACAACAGAAGACTATCAGCTTCGTGTGCTGAGAGCAGAACTCCTGTATGGACAATATGCATGCTAGTCTGGTCCTGGTGACACATTTGTAAGGAGCAGAGATAGTGTCTGCTGTCCCTTTGAGAATCTTAGGGAAAAGCCTTCCTCCCTATAGAGCCATAGCACTGCCGCACGTTGCTGGGGGATTTAAGGAGGGAGACACTCTCCACCTCCAAAGAGAGCCTGGGACTGTGTACATGCTGAAGTTGCCTCCTGTCTCTCCTCCAATCTTCCTCTCTCTTGACTTTGTGTTACAGTTAATCTTCATTGTCAGCTTGATTGGATTCTAAACCATTAAAGAGATGGAAGAGCAGCTTTCTATGTGTCCACGAGGACAGTTACAGAGAGAATTACTGAGGGGTAAGACCCAATCTGAAGGTGATAGTACTACCTCATGGGCCAGGGGCCATAACCACTCCTTCTGTCCTGATGTTCTGCTCAAATACAGCCAGGAAACATGGGCTGGACCATGAAAGGCTAAACCAATTAAGTTACCCTTTTTCCTTAGGTTGGCCCTGCCTGCTGCTTCATAACAGTGACACAAAAGTGTTTCCCAGCTCCCTCAGAAAACAGCATCACCAGCCAGAGAGCTCCGAGGTCCACCACACCAGGCCCGAAGCAGCGCACTCGTACTTACAGCTGATGTGGTGGGAAATGGCTACAGCGGAAGAACTTCGAGGTGTTCCCAGCAGGGTCCAAGGCCAGCACACTCCAACAGTTCTCATTTCTGTCTTGAAACGTCAGTTTCTCCCTTCCTGCTGGGTGGTTGCCACCATCCAAAGGAGGCCAGTTCGCCTCTCCTGCCTTACAAAGGATGCCCTGTCTCCATCTCCCTTCCCCCTCTAGCAAGAAAAGTGCTTTTCAGAATTACATCAAAATTCTGCAAGATAGCTGGGTATTGGTGGCACATGCCTTTAAGCCCAGCACTCAGGAGGCAGAGACAGGTGGATCTCTGTGAGTTCAAGGCCAGCCTGGTCTCCAGAGCGAGTGCCAGGATAGGCTCCAAAGCTACACACAGAGAAACCCTGTCTCGAAAAACAAACAAGCAAAATTCTGCAAGACAGTTGTGTGTGCCTGTGCTTTGCAGTACCCTTTCGTTCCTCTGTGATTTATCTGCTGCAGAGAAGAATTACAAACATAAAGTATGTGTTGAAGATGCCACAGGCTGTACAGGTTCCCTATCTGGATTTTGGTGATTGCATACTCATTGTGTTATTTAGCAACTGTCTATCCCCAGGACATGGACGGAAGGCAGAGTCCTCAGAATAGACTATCAGTGATGTTTGGCAAGACAGAATGAACCACATGATATATGTTGTTTTTCTCTGTGTAATGGTAGCAGCTGTTGAGACTCAGTGATTAATAGTGTCCACAGTCAGGCGCTAATACTCATTGGTTGAAAGCACAAAGGGCAGTCTGACAAACCAGCTCTCACTGACTGAAAGCACATGAATCTGACACACCAGCTCTTGTTGGCTGAGAACACTCAGAGTGCCATGAAAACACCTATTAATGGTCTTTAATAGAGAGCTGGAGAGGTGGCTCAGCAGTTAAGAGCAATGGCTGCTCATCCAGAGGACCCAGGTTCGATTCCCAGAACCCACATGACTGTTTACAAACATTTGTAACTCCAGTTCCCAGGGATCTAATGCCTGCTTTTGGGTTCCATTGGTACCAGACACACCATGGTGCACAGATGTACATACAGGCAAAATATCTATACACACAAAAAACATTTGAAGTCTTTAGTAGTACAATAGATACAGGGAAATTTTATGTCTATATATGGGTATACATTTTCAATAAATATAACAAATTATTTTAATTGTTTAAGATTTATTTATTTAGGCTAGGTAGGGTGGCACACATCTTTAATCTTGGTAGCGCTCAGCAGGCAGAGTCAGGCAGTCTCTGAGTTCAAGGCCAGCCTGGTCTATAGAATGAGTTCCAGGACAGCCAGGGCTACACAGAGAAAGTCTGCTTGGGAGGGAGATGGCCCTAGGGGGGGAGATTTTTTTTTTTTATTTCCTGTGCATGAGTGTTTGCCAGTGTGTATATATGTACACATCTGCTACTTCAGAGGCCAGAGAAAGTGTCAGGTCTCCTGGAACTAGAATCATGAATGGTTGTGAGCTGTCATGCGGCTTCTGGAACTGAGTTTGGACCCTCTGCAAGAGCATCAAGTGCTCTTAATGGCTGAGCCAAAGGAAGCCAAGAGGAAACAAATGACATGTGTCATGGTGTATGTTCTTCTGATTCTCAAGTGTACATCTCCAACTCATCTACAAGCTGGACAGGCTTCCAACCAGTGTGCCATCCCACCTCTTCCTGTCCTTTCACTGCCACACAGAATCCTTCCAGCCCATTTTTCAGCATCAGCATCACATGTACAAGTCAGAAATGTGTTCCTCTCTTCTCTCTTAGTCATCACCATCATCCACTCTACTACCATGTCATCTAAAGGATGCCTCTAGATGTTTCCAACCCAGGTGGCAGTCTGGGTAATGAGACTCTTTGTAACAGAGCCTTTTGTGATGAGAGAACAGATGTCGCCAAGAAAACCCAAGGGGAGGATCAGTTACCTTCATCCACTGGGGAAGGGAGGATATAGCTCTTTGGGTTGAGCCTTGAAGAAATGGAGGGGGGCTCCCTTTGGACAGGAGAGGGAATTCTAAGGAGAAGGAAGCAACAACGATAAAGAGCTGGAAGGATTGAGTGTCCAAAACATGATTCTAACCACAAGTACTCTCGTGTTCATACAATACTATGCACAATAACTGAAAGACAGGATCAACCCAAAGACAGATCACTGGATAAATAGATAAATCTGGCACACATATGCAGTGTTATTCAGCTGTAGAAGGTACTGGTGCTGCTATAAGATGGGGAACTCAGAAAGTAGTACTATGTTGAAGAAATCAGACACAAAAACCACACTCTATGTATCTAGAATAGGTAATCCATAGGGCTCAAAAGTGGATGGGGGAGGGGTCAGAGAGAGGGCTGTGGTTAAAAGAACTTGCTGATCTTGCACAGGACCTGGGTTTAATTCCCAGCCCACACATGCAGGCTTGCAACCATCTGTAACTCCACTTTCCAGGACATCTGGTGTTCTCTTTTGACCTCCGCAGGTACCAGGCATGGACATGATACACATACATGAAGGCAAAACACACATACACATAACATAAATTAATCTTTTTTTAAGAGTATATTGGTGGGTGCCAGGGTAAGGGAACAGGGAATGAAGAATGGTGGTTTAATGGGCATGGTGTATCCTTCAGGAATGGAAAAAAAAAATGCTTTACAAGCTAGCCATGGTAGGCGCACAGCAACATGGATTACTAAACATGGCTGAATTGTTCCCATTGTAGTGACTAATTTTGTATTACATGAATATCATTTCAGTTTTTTGTTTTGTTTTGTTTTGTTGTTTTTCCAGACAGGGTTTCTCTGTAGTTTCGGAGCCTGTACCAGAACTCACTTTGTAGATCAGACTGGCCTCCAACTCACAGAGATCTGCCTGCCTCCACCTCCTGAGTGCTGGGATTAAAGGCGTGCACCACCACCTCCTGGCTCATTTTAGTTTTTAAAATCTCTAAACTCTAGGGATTAGAAATAGGGGAACATGAAACTCTAAAGGCAGTGCAAGGAGGAGCGTGACTGTGGCCACTGCAGACAGATGAACTGTCTTTGGAAGGCTCTTACAGGCTCAAGACAGTGTTAAATGAGTAGCTGTTGTCTTACTTGAGCAAGATGAGCCTTATGGGTCCTTAGTCCTCTTGAAGTCCCACTTTTTATCATATTTTCTTTAGAATACTCCTTCCAACAATACTCCTCATTATAAAGTGTCTGGTTCAGAATAGGATCGCTAAGCGAGTAGGTATAGCCTAATCTTCTGACGCTCTTCGGACTACAAAAACAAGAAGTAGAGATTAGAGTAAGGTTGTTGTCTTGGTGTCCTTTCCTGTTACGTGACAAAATCCTCTGACAAAAACCCAGGGGAGGAAGTGTTTCTTCTGCCCTACAGCTCAAGAGCACACTCCACCATGGCAGGAGATCAAGGTGGCAGGGCCTTGAAGCAGCCAACCACATAGCAACCAGCAGTCAGAAATCAGACAGCAAGGGATGCTCAGCTCCCTTCCTCCACAAACATAGTCCAGGATCTCAGCCAGGGAATCGTGCCACCCACAGTGGGCGAACCTTCCCACCTCAATCAGTGCAACCAATATAATCCCCTTACAGGCATTCCCCTAGACCTGTTTCCCAGGTGATGCTAGGTTTTATCACCATGTCAACATTAATCATCGAAGAGACTAAGTGCCACATTCCCCAATGATATGAACGTCAAATTATTGTATGTGTTTTGCAAGTTTTTTTTTTTTTTTTAAGATTTGCTGGCTTAAGACTTGCCAGATATTTGATTTTCAAATTCTCTTAATAAAATCAATTTTCTAAAAGGGAAAGACATATGAATTGGGATATTGTTACCTTTTAAACATTTCTATTAATTTTTTTATACCTATGGGTTTTTTTGCCTGCCTGTACGTGCACATATGGCACCTGAAAAGACCAGCAGAGGGCACAAGATCCCCTAGAACCTGAGTTACAGATGGTTGTGAGCCACCATACAGGTGCTGGGAACTGAAGCCTGGTGCTCTGGAAGAGCAACCAGTGCTATAACTTCTGAGCCATGTCTCCAGCCCTGGATATTCTTCTCCAGTGTGCAAGTCCCCAGTGAAATGTGTATTGCCAACACTGTAACTCAAAGCTCAAAAAGAGGTCACCAAATATTATCAGATATTACCACCAAATGGTGCCATCTCCAAATATCACCCCCTCATGATATTATCATGAGCTATTACCACCAGACACTGTGTGTGCCTAGACATTTACACCAATACCCACTAAGTATTATTATTTTTGGCAGAATACAAAATAAGAATCAACTGAATTCTTTAGATTATGGAATTACAGGAAATGCATGAAAGGGAGAGGAAAGCAAACATTGGGGCAACCCTGGTCAGAAAGCCTTCAAAGAAAGTCTGCTTGTCACTCAGGCTCCAGGATTGCCCAGGGCTTATCTTCTGTGGCAGGTGTTTCTATAGGGTAAAGGATGGCACTGGAGCTTGGGTATCACAGACTTAGTTGAATGCCACACAGGGCCAGCCTGGCTGAATGACGTCTGGATCCCTGTCTCCTAACAGCTCTAAAATGTTCATCAGGCTTTGGCTCGGGAGGCTTCTAAGGAGACAGAAGAGCATGCAGGGTACTTTAAATGGCTCTCCCCGTCAAATTTTTAAAGATAAGCATTTTTGGTTTTCAACTTAAAAAAAAAAAAAAAAAAAACCTGGGAAATGTCATTAGCTGGGGAGGAAGAAGAGACTGAGCACAGGAAGCTGCACAAGCTGCTGCTGCTGACGGCTTTAAATATAACTAGGCTTTTCTGGGCCATCATACTTTTCAAGATTACTGCACGAAACTGGTTCATAAGAATCGTGTGCTATGTGACATTTTTCAGGGTTTGTGTTCGTCACTCAGCAAGGTATTTCAACCTTATTTTTAATCCAATCATAGTTTGAAATATTCACTGCAATGTAGCCAATCATTTTGTGTTATAAATCAATGAAGTTGTTTCTGATCCAGAGAGAGAGAGACAGACAGGCAGGCAGGTAGACAAACAGCCTGGCCTCAAACCAGCCATCTTTCTGGGCCTCCTCAGTGCTGGGATCCCAGGCATGAGCCATTTTGTCTGGCTAGCTGACTTTTAAATGAAGTTGTTATTTATTCTCAGAAGTTTAGCATAGTGTTCTATATAATAACATTCTTAACTAGGGAATATCACCTATTTGTTTGTTTTGAGACAGGGTCCCATTATGTAGCCCTGGCCAGCCTGGCACTCACAATGTAGACCAGGCTGGCCTTGAACTCACAGAGATTAAAGGTGTGTGACACCACATCCAGCCCATGTTGTTTTCCCTGATACTCCTCAGTTTATGGAAAACTTACATGCTTTGTTTCATTGTTTGACTATATAGTTAATCATATAAGACATATATTGTTTTATACTTCCCTTGTCTACTTTTAATAATCTTCCCTAAAAATGCATTCCATAATTTTTCAATATTCTTCTTAATACTCCTTAAAATGTATATTAACATTTATGTGAACAATAAGTATAGATAGATTTCATCTTGACATGAAATAATATAGTTATGCATCCTTAGCAATAAAAATGATTGTACCAAGTACACAGATGCCATAAACTGTACAAGCTAAAATTTTGGTTCCAAGATTAAGACAAAAATGTATTTAAAATCTGTGATAGTTGAAAACCTCTCTAAAAAATTCTACCGGGGGCTGAAGTGATAGGAGCACTGGTCACCATGGTTAGCGCACTGGCTGCTCTTGCAGAGGACCTGGGTTCAATTCCCAGCAACAATGTGGCACTTACAACCATCTGTAACTCCGGTCCCAGGCGGATCCAAAGCCCTCTTCTGGCCCCCTCAAGCATCATCAGGCATGCATGTGATACACAGACATATATGCAGGCAAAGCATCCAAACACATAAAATAAATTTAGAAAAATTTCAAATCTGCCCAAAACCATTTGTTGAAATTCCTGTTTCTGGTTTCCAAATCCGTCTTGAGTTAGATTAACATTTTAAAAGTAAAGTCAGAGTGGAAGAACAATAGGTATAATTCAGTCGCTGTTTGATTCTCTGGAACTGTTTATTTCTCAGACTTTGACAACAGGGATTAACTCAGTAAATGGAAGACAGGCCATGTTATTTGCTTTTAATAGAATGGAATGGGTTCCCCCACGAAGGCATCAACAGATCAGTCGTTAACAGTCTCCTTGTGACTTCTGGCATCTAAATGACACCCTGACACTGGATCTCCCTCTCTTACAATATGCTCATTTATAGATGGAGACCTTCCTGGGCACCAGCATCCCTACATTGGAAAAAAGCAAAAGTAGAAGGAGGCTGGAGCCAGGTGTCCTATCACCCTAAAAACAAAACAGGCAGCTGAATGCATAAACTCATTTATCTCATTGACATGTAGTTCCTCTAAAATGACTTTAATTTACTATTAACTTCATATATAATCTAAAAATCATTTCATAAATAATATATTATTATTAACTTCATATTGCTTAAAGCAATTATGTGCTTAAAAGAACTGTGATAACTCAATAATATTTAAAACTTTTCAATTAATATACTCAGTTACAAAGAAGTATAATAGGGTGATCAATAAATTGCTTTCACAACCTACATGTTCTTCCGCTGGAGAACGGATAATGAAAATGTGGTACATATACACTAGGGACTACTAGGCAGCTGTTAAGAAAAATGAAATAATGAACTTTGCAGGTACATGGGTGGAACTAGAAAAGATCATATTGGGTGAGGTAACTGACCCCAAGACAAACATTGCCTGTTTTCTCTCTCTCTCTCTCTCTCTCTCTCTCTGTGGTTCCTAACTCCAGATCTTCATACACAAGTATACGTCTCAGTTGTCATCAGAAAAACATCTGCAAGCAGACAGAGACCATTACAGAAAACCGTCACCTATCAAAATGCAAAGAGCAAGTGACTGTGTGGTACCCCACCCCAGCTGAAGCATCTTCAACACAACCCTGCACCTAAGGGATAACTGTGGCAGAGGGAGTGGAAAGATTGTAAGAGCCAAAGAAACAGCGAGTTTGCGGTGACTTTGTGTCTCACAGAAACGTCAATGAAGCTACAGTCACGAAGTCTCACCAACACGGCTGCCTAAGCAAGAACTGAACGTGGATGACACCAATAGACATGCTAACATGGAAAAGAAATCTTACAGGGCCTCAGCCCTATACAAAGGACTACAGACAGCTAAGGATCACTGAGGATGGGAGAAATAGTCTTCCCCAAGGAAGAGAACACCAATTAGTTATCCAGTGCCAAGTGGTCAGCTATGAAATCATATACATACAAGCAACATTATATGGACTAAGCAGGTTGTATTTTATAATTAGAAAAATATATGTATAGCTTCCCTTTCCGCCGACTCATCACAGACCAGGTGAGTGACCCCCTGCTTTTACCCAACTCCTGTCCTAAGCGCCATTCACCCAGATCCCTCCAGGCTTGTCCCTGCTTGGAACAGACACGCCCAGACAGGGAGGAGCTCCCTGAATCTGGGTACAGGCCACTCTTCCTTCCCTTTCCGCTGACTCATCACAGACCAGGTGAGTGACCCCCTGCTTTTACCCAACTCCTGTCCTAAGCGCCATTCACCCAGATCCCTCCAGGCTTGTCCCTGCTTGAAATAGACACACCCAGGCAGGGAGGAGCTCCCTCCCGGCGACCCATCCGCCAGGAGGTGAGTGATCCACCGCTCTTACCCAACTCCCTATCAAAGCCACATCCATCCCGATCTCCCCGGGCCTGCTCCTGCTTGGGGTAGACCTGCCCAGGCAG